GGACAGCATCCCCCAGCCGGGGCCCCAGCCCTGGAGACTCAGAGGTGGTCTGTGTACCCCGGGCCCTCAGTTGTACCAAAGTCTGTGTGGGAAGCTGAGTTAGCAATTCACCGCTGCTTCATGAGCATCGAATTAGAGCTGAGCAGAGTGCAGATGGGCCATGGGAGGCTCTTGGGGCTGAGTGCGGTGGGGCCCGGGGCTCCCATTTCTATCACGGTGCTGGCCCTGATGCTCCCTGTTCTGGGTCGAGCTGGCTGGCCCCTCTCCCTGGCACCTCTTGGACAGCCTTTAGGATTCACCCTTGGTTAAAGGAAGGTCTTCCCAGAACAAGGAGGCCTCCTCGTCAGTCAGGACTATGTCGGGACCCCCACCCTTGGCAGAACTGTTTTGAAGGCACTAGGAGATACTCTGAAGAACTCCTTCCCAACACTGTTCACTCTGGTTCGTGAATAGATTTCCTTCCTGCAGCTCAGAGTACAATCAACCAGCCCTCCCTCCTTTGGACAAGCCCGGCCAAGTGGGGGAGGGCACCCGGATGACATCGATCTGTATTTGGGGGCTACCTAGAGATCAGTTCTCTGGGGTAGATCTTCTGGAACAAACGACCAAGTTTACCCATTATATGGTGGTTTGTTTTTTTTTTTTTTTCCTCATTTATTTCTATTCTAGGTTAGGAGCCCTTTGTAATGCCGACTTCATGATTTCCTCTTTGCTTTTCAGTCATTAAATCATTCTTGGGAACAACAATAGCTGCTATGTGTTAAACCGTATTTATTTTTTTCAGTCATTCCCAAAACCAACATGGGGCTTGAACTCATGACCCCCAGATCAAGAGTTGCAGGCTCTTCCAACTGAGCCAGCCAGGCAGGCACTCTTCGCTGCTATTTATTAATTAGCCAGTGTACTGACTGGGTGATTTCCTTGTCTGATCTTCAATCCCTACAGCAACCTGATTCCAATTTCATAGATGAGGAATCTATGGATTCAGAAATCAGAGGAATCAGGAAGATCAGGATGTGGCCCAGTATCAGTGTGTCTGTTGTGTTTTGTTTTGGCATTGCCTCGATGTTTTAGTATTTTTCAGGGTGCCTGGGTGGCTCTGTGGATTGAATATCTGACTCTTGGTTTCAGCGCAGGTCATGATCTCCTGGGTCGTGGGATTAAGCCACAAGTTGGGCTCCACGCTCCGCGGGGAGTCTGCTTAAGATTCTCTCTCCCCCTTTCTCTGCCCTCCCGTGTGCTCACTCTCTTTCTCTCTCTTTAAAATAAATACATAAATCTTAAAAAAAAAATGAGTAGTATTTTTCTACTCAGTTGAAATGAAAGAGAAAATGTTTGCTTACACTTGTCTTCCAAAACAAGCTCTTGAAACCTCATTCAAGACCCTAGCTGGGAAAAACAAACATTTTGAAATGCATGAACCCAGATCCTGAAAGAACAAAAAGTTTATGTTTTGTTTTGTTCGTTTGTTCATTTAACACACCAGCAATTAGAACCCTTTGTATGAATGGCTCAGAGTGTATCCACATATAAAAATTTAGGAAGGGGTGAGGAACTGGAAAGAGTATGTGGACCCTTTCCAGAAAGTGATGATCGGGGGTCCAGGGTGGGTCCTAGCTGAGGTTATCTGGAGGAGGCTTGGGTTTTGGGGGCTGAGGGTGAGGGGCAAGGGGGTGGGCCTGCACTGGAAGGTGGCCCAGCTGAATACCAGCCACTGCTTGTGTCACCGGGGATGGCTTGGGGCAGCTCCTTCATACTGCCTTGTTTGGCAAGCCACTCTTCCCCGACCTAAATAAATGTACCCCCTATGGTGGAGCCTGGATACGCAGACATGGTCATGGGAAGGAGAAGCCCCTCAGCACCAGTCCTTGGGTGGGAGGCAAGAGATCCAGCTCAGTGCTCCCTCTTCCCTCCAACAATGTCCCATGGCTAGTATCCCAGGACCCTGACTGGCCCTCACCAGCTGGCTTCCCAGAACTCTGGCCTCTGAGCATTTCTGAGCGGTCAAGTAGTGTCACCAGCTGGGAAGGATGGAAATCAACTGCTGCAGCAGATCTGGGAAGGTCTGGAAGGAGGAAATGTCCCGGTGAGAGATGGCGAGCCTCTGGGCAAGGCAGTGGTCAAGGATGGAGAGGAGGCGTATCATGGGGTAGGATCAATAGGACATGACTGATATGGGCTCACGCCCAAATGCCTGCACTTAGCTTGGCCGCTCCAGCCTCCAGTGCTGCCAGTCCCGTGGCCAGTCTCTGCTCTAGCTGGTTCCCGAATGTTCTCCCTCCATCACGGCTCCATGCTTCCAAATGTGCCGGGCTGGCTTCTGCTGTATCCCCAACTGAAGAAAGAGATCCTTGAGGGAAGGCGCTGAATTTCTTCTCTCTGAACTCCAGCCCGGGCACAAAGCCTAGCTGTACCACATCTATTTGTTGAGTGAAATCGATCAATCAAAAAAGATGCAGGGTGAAGGGGAAGGAAAGAAGCTAAGAGTAAAGGAATGAAGACATGGGGCTCCCCGTCAGATCTTGTTATAATCACTCCTCTCTCTGATGTTACACATTAATCCTCATTGGAGCGAGTCAGGAGAGGGATGAGAGTAGCATCTGCCTTCACTGGCTGCTGGAACTAGAACCAAATCAAACGGGAATGGTTCAGAGAACAATCTAATATTCTGTCCCAACATTTTCAGTAAGTCTGCCGCATGGCTAGAGAGAGGCAGTGCTTCCTGCAGACCTTGAGGCTGGTGTTGGGGTGGGAGATGCTGAGAACCATGACAGAGACGACAAGAGACGGTGGACAAAGACCCTGGCGACCTGTGTCAAGTCCCGAGCTCCAGTCCTGGATGTACAGATAGCCCGTTAGCTGGGCCTTTCCGACCCCTCTTGCCGATTTACATTCTAAAATCTCTCTCTCTCTTTGCTTTGACTTTTTCTGTTCCTCCCTTGCTTCTTCCACACTCACTGATCCTCCAGGTCCTCGGGAGACCAAAATGTAAGCCAGAGCAGGAGGGAGGGCTTGAATTAATTTTAGTGTCTTTGTGTCTTGTAGTAAGAGGGAAAAATCTTCCATCTTAAGGCCTGTTTTTGTCCTGGGCCGCTCTATTTTCTTATGGTCGTTTCCATCAATTCGTTTTTTAAGACAAGATTCGTTTTCTCTAATATCCGAGTACCGGAATGTTAAGCCTGGGAGGATTAAGAGCATAGGTTTGGGAGTTGGGCAGACACTGGCGACTTTGTGGAGTAACCTCAGTCAGATTCCTTTGAAGTCCTCCCTTAAAGCTGCTTCTCTGGCTGTTTTCATATCCGGAAACGGGGGAGGTGAGGGGTGGGGACCCAGGACCATCTGCAGTCTGGCCACTACTTACCATACCTGCAAGGAATTGACAAACTCACCTCATTACTTGACAAATATTGTAATAAAGTGCTGCAGTCCTCATTGTGCAGCCAGAGAGCTTGCCTGGGGTCGTGTAAGTGGTGAGTCCCTGGGTCCAGGCCCAGAGGGCTCCTACCTCATGCAGTCAGTGCCTTTGGTGGTCACACTTTCTTTATCCTCGGTGCTGTGGTAGAGATCTGGAAAATTCTCTCCGGTTCCGGCCATCCCTGGTTCTAACCTCTTCTTTCTCTCCAAAAAGAAGTGTGCGCTTGGAATAGCTTGAGTCCCTGGCTTCAGGATGAATCTAAAAGGAGGGGCACGGAGGTCTGCAGACTGCGTGGAATATGCGAGAAGCGCTCCCCCAAACTCAGCTTTTGATGGGGGAAATAGCCGCACAGGCCAAGGAAGCTGTCGACTCACTTGCCCTGGGCCGGTATGCTAGGAACACAGCTGGTTCAGCTGCCTTTCTCACGCTGATCACAAGCTCCAATGGGCAATTATATATGTCTTTGATTAATAAAAAATGGAGCAATGAATGAATACTTAACGCAGTCTGGCGGGTAAAATCTTTCAGAACCTGGGCTCGGGGTGAGGCAGGGAGTAATCAAAGGGATCTTTGGGGGTGAAACCAGGGAGGGGGAGGGCAGTGGTGTGGGTTCTGGAAAACTGTCCTTGGCTTTCTGATTCTAAGCGGGGTGGGGTGGGGCGGCTGCTGGCAGCCCTGGGAGCGGGAGATGAGGACCAGGGTTTGTGCTGGTGGACAAAGGGGTAAACATGTATTCTGCGGCCACGCAAGTGGGCAAGGTAAAGCACTGGAATAGGGCGCGTGTGTGCGTCCGCGCGGCCGCAGGTAGCCATCTGTGTCCTCCGTGTGTGCTGGGCGTCTGTGCTCTCCTACGCGGGTCTCCCCGCGTGAGGCACAGTTTTGAAACGAATTTGGTTAGGGGAAGGCGTAGAGGCGAACGGACCAGGAGGCTGAACGAGGATCAAGAGAGATGGAAACAGGCGCGGCTGCGGCCGGAGAGAGAGAACGGAGCGAAGATCCCAGGCCTGGGCGGAAAAGCGCGCGAGAGATGGTGAGGGCGGGGGGGGGGGGGGGGGGGCGGGGGGGGGGGGCCCGGGCCCCGCGCGGCGCCCGGCGGGGGGGGGGGGGGCGCGCCCGCGTGCGGGAGAGGGTGCGCATGCAGGGGCAGGGGCGCGTGGGGCTGCGGGGGTGCGGACCTCGGGGCGCCCTTTCCGCAGAGGGTCACGGAGGGTCCTGTTGGTGTTGGGTGTTTTTGGCTTTAGATTGGTCTGTGTCGTGGTGAACTAGCCCTTGTGACCTTGGGCAAGCCGACAACCTCCCGCGGACCTTTTATTCCCTTGTTGGTAACCCGGAGAAAACGAGACAGCTAACTTTGACAGGTGGTTTTGAGCCTGCGAGGACGTCCGTGAAGTGTCCCCCCGCCCCGCGCCACTCACCGCTGTTTCTATTTTTGTGGACAGTCTTCAGAATCAGGCTCCGTTTCTGCGTCCCCAGGTGCTGCCGTTGTGGGTTAGAGAGGCCCCTTTCTGCACCTCTTCCAGAACCTTCGTCCCCCTCTGTCTTTCCCGCAAGCCCCCTCTACTAAGCGGCCTCTGCTTGCTTTTTACAGGATCCAGAGAAACGCCCACCGCTGTCTCTTGCCCAGGCCGGGGGGAAAAAGGCAGAACCGGAGCGTACTTGAACAGAAGGGCTTGGCGGAGGAATTTTCCAAAGGCCCAAAGGCCAGCCGTTGAAGCACTGGTGGTCAGCCCAGGAGGCCCCGAGTGAGATTTGGGGACCGGCTCCGCCTCAGGCCATGCCAAGCCAGGGTCTGCCCCTTCGAGTGGCCACCCTGCTGACCGGGCTCCTGGAATGCCTTGGCTTTGCTGGAGTCCTCTTCGGCTGGGCATCGCTGGTGTTCGTCTTCAAAACAGAGCATTACTTTGAGGAGCTATGTGAACCAGATGGCGGGCCGATGGGCAATCTTACTGAGCAGGCTGGTAAGGGACTCCTCTAGGAAAGCAGTCTGGTTCCCAGGCAGTAGGAAGGGGTGGGAGGGATTCTGCACCCCCCTCCACCTTGTGCCAGCTTTTCTGGGGTGAGAGGAAAGGAGTGTCACTCCCCCTACCAATTCCCCAGTCTTGGTCTAGCAGGTGCCTGGAAGTACCAGCCCCTGAGGGGTAAGTAACTAGAGGCTGTCATATTTCAGCTCCCTGAGGTCTCCCTTTCTCTCCTGCAGACTGCAAAGCCCAGGATGAGAAGTTCTCACTCATCTTCACCCTGGGATCCTTCATGAACAACTTCATGACATTCCCAGCCGGCTTCATCTTTGACAGGTTCAAGACCACCGTGGCTCGTCTCATAGCCATGTAAGTCCCAAAGGCCCGGGTCTGGGCACAGATGGGCAAGAGGAATTCTTTTGGCAGTAGCCACGCCTGGGGGAGATGCAGCTGGGCAACAGGGCCACCCTGCCCAGCCCGGTCCCAGCAACCGTCAGAAACAGCCCAGGATGTGGACTGTTTAGATCCATTCTTTTCTTTGCACCCCTACTCCCCTTGCGTCTGCCCTGTTCTTCTTTTGTTCCTTGTGATTGTGTATTTGAATTGAGCTGGAGCCCAGGCCGATTTCCTTTGAGGGCTGGTTTGGTGCCTGGGTTAGAATAGCGGAACTGAAAATTGTCACTCAGGGATCCTACCAGGCCTCACATCCAGGTCCGTTATCATCTCACCCCACCCCCATGTCATCCCCCAGAGACCTAGTAAGGTCTCCTGGGTACCCCTGATGGTGGGATCTCCTGACCCCCTGACTGGAGCAGAGAAGTGGGGGTTTCACAGAGGGGAAGGGATCTCATCTCACTCAGACAGGATGCTGCAGTAGCTGGCTAGCTTCAGCGATAAGCAGTGGCCTGCCAAGGTCTTAATAGACCTAGAGCAGGTGCCTCCTGGCAGATGTATGGAAACTGAGTTATCAGACAGAGGGCCTGGAGGGCTGGCTGATAAAGCATGTTCCTGCTCTCTAAGCCATTGGGTGTGGAATGACTTTATCTCAGTCTGTCCTTGGCTCCCGGTCTCCTCTTCTTCCCACCCCTTCCTTTGTCCCCTCCCTCATCTCCAGCCTTAGCATGTTAGGAAAAACTGTCCTGTGTTTCTCTTTTACTTTCACATAGAATACTTCAGTTCTGATACATCTGGTCACCACGTGTGTGGGTTTCTCCCCCACACCAAGCAATTCTTTGACATCTGCTGGATGTACTATAATGTAACTCCATTCTGACCCCATTTCCCTGGAGAGAGTGTCAGATCCTGCAGGTTTCGGGTGTCCCACAGGACTGCCCCCTCCTTCAGATGCCAATGGCAAGTTGGTGGGTCCCTGGGTTACCCATGTCTGGCTGCAGATCCGAGGTTCCCATGACCTTCTACCTCTTGGACTGGATTATTTGCTAGAACAGCTCACAGAACTCAGAGAAACATTGGTGTTTACCAGTTTATGAACGGATATGATAAAGGATACAGATGAAAGCCTACAGGTTCAGAAGCTCTCTGAGCCCCATCCTATTGGGATTTTGTGGAGTCCTCTTCATGTTGGCTTGATCAGTTATTAACCATTTCCAGCCCTTCTCCCCTCTCTGTAGAAGTGCGGTGGTGGGGGGGGTGTTGCCGAAAAATGCCAGACTTCCAATCCTGACCAATGCTTGCTCTTTCTGGTGACCAGTCCCCATTTAGGAGCTATCCGGGATCCTACCAGAGTCACCCCACTGGAACAAAAAATGCTCTCGTGCTCTTATTATGGAAATTTACAAGGGTTTTAGGAGCCCTGTGTCAGGGACCCAGGACAAAGACCAAATATGTATTTCTTTGTGTTAGCCACAGTATCACAGGTTAGCCCCCGGTCTTCGAACACCGATCCCGTGTAGCAGAAACAATCGTAAAGTTTGAACGGTCCTGGCCCATTAACAGAAACACATTCAGTCATTAATAACTATCCAGTCCATCATCAGACCATCTGAAAAGGTCTCCCAGGGCCACTTAAGCTCATGGGCTTCTGTTTGATCTTGTGAGGTTCCAAAAGCAGGAGTGATCTCAGCAATACATTCCTTCACCCTTCAGGCATCCAGTATACTGGATGGGAGGGAAGAGACAAGATCCTGTCTTGCCCTGAGCCTCTTTCCGAGTGTTCGCAGAATACTTGTTTCCCTCCTTATAGAAGCTGCTTATTCACCCCCTTACTCTCTGATTTTCCTTCTCTCCATCGATACCAGTAACTATTCTGCCTCTGGAAGGGGTGTTAGGTTTGGCCACTGAGCCGGTCTGCAATACTCATCCAGCAAGTGTCTTCCCGTTCAGGCAGGGTGAGGTTACGGAGGCTCAGAACTAAGCGGGCTCGCGGTCCCACCCGGCAAGATGGCTGCCTTCCCCGTTCCCTGTTCCAATTTTGGCAGATAGAGGGAAGGCACTTAGGAATCGTAACACAGTGGTTAAGAACACAGTTTTCTTGCTTAGGACTCATCTCTGCTTCCAGTCCTGGTATTATCAGCCTGGTCCTGTGACCCCAGCATGACGAGGGGGCAAGGTTCCACTAACCACAGTGCAAAAAGGGAACCACTCCCCACTCAGACACCATGTCCGTTCCCTGTGTGAGAGAGACAGCCACTCACAGACAGCCTGTTTGAACATACTTGTTCTCCCATTTTCGTGCACCCCTCGAATGCCAGAGTGACTTCCGTAGGGCTGTGCCCCGTCTGGCCAGGTTTCTAGTTCCCTCCTGCGTGACCGAACGGCAAGGCCATGGGCCACTGCCCCCAGCTCTGTAAGAACCCGAACATAGAGGCCTTTTCCACGGTAGGTCTCTTTCCTCTCTCGTAGGACAGCAGCATAAGGGTCATGCAGCCCGCCGAGCTGATCTGTTTTTACCTTTTTGGATCAGGGCAGTGGCCTTCCAAACAGGATGTGGTTGTCCATTCACCTTGGCACACAGCCAGGGAGCTCTGTGCTGGCCAATGGAGGGTTCTTTGTAGAGCACCTTCCGAGAAGCAGTAGAATCCAGCCGCCTGCTCTCCACACATTCCAGAGTCGGTCCTGGGTGGGGAGAGGCTCCCTGGTAGTGGTTTCTCCTCCTCATATTCCCCAGGCAACACGATCCTGTCTCACCACTGCTATTTTCAGTTTGGAATTCTTGCCATGGCCATCCCCATTGGGGCATTTCTCCGATATCATCCTGGACATCGTGGGTCTTTCATGTTTGAAGATCATTTTATGTACTTCGGCTGTGTGGATTCAATTAATGTCTGATAGCAGGATGATAAATGCCCCGGAAATGGAAATTCTCTTGTCCAAGCTCCCAGTGGTTGCTGCTGGGAGGTGCCCACAGACTTTTGCCATAAGCCCCCGTGTGGGCTCCCCACAGGGTTACGGCACAGGGCATTCGTCCCTGACTGGTACTCCGCCTTCTATCTTACACCGTCAGGGCTCGGGCATTCTCACTGGTTCCCAGCGCACATGTCCAGTTGACAGGACAGGAGGATTTAGGATTTAGACACATCCTGTTCCAGAGCGCTGGCGGGAAAAGCCTTCCCTGGTCACACCCAGGGTCCAGCCCCAGGATCCAGTGTCAAGGAGACACAGCCCCTTCTCGCAAAGCCTGTTCAAACATACCAGTTCTCCTATAAACATTTCCCTTTCTTCCAGGAACCCTGACTTTCCTTCCCGCAGCCTCCTTAGGACTTGGTCAGCAGGCGATTTCCAGCATTAGGTGGGGAAATGCTCCCAGCCACACGTAGTCTCTCATTGTGAAACATCAGGGAAAGGAGACACAACGTCTTTACGGAGAGTGTGTTTCAACACTGCAGCTTTCATAAACCTACCAACACATAGGTTTATGTGCTCCTCGTCTAACTGAAGCCCGTGGCCAGGCTTTACCAGCAGATTTTGGTGCCTCAGTGGGTGAGGTTCCCCTGAGCCCTGGGAACTTCTCTTCTCCACCCCCTGCCTGTTTTGGCCACTTCTGTGCAAAAGGCTTTGGGGCCAAGATGAGGGGTAGAGTCAAGGCAGCCTGGTCCTTCTGTCAGTCTGGAACCTGGTGAATCTGTCTAATGATTGCCCCCAGAAATTGCTGGTTGGGTTTCTCACCGTGACCTCTCTGTCTTCTGGCTTTTAACGTTTTTCCAAATGGGGGCAAACAGACTGGACTTGTTTGCAGGCACTCTAATGCTGGGGGCTGGCAGGGGTCCCCTTGGCCCACCCAGCCTTTGGCAGTGCTGTATTAACACCTTCTTTTTAACCCTTGTTGGTTTCATCTATCCCACATCTCTATAACCATCTGGAGATTTCCACCCAGCAAAGATGATCCCATGACTCTCCTGCTTCCTCTTTGTTCTACTCCCATCAATATTTGCTTTATTCCCCTTATATAATTTTTTAAGATTTTAATTATTTATTTGGGAGAGAGAGAGATGAGAGAGGAAAAGGTCTGAGGGAGAAGCAGACTCTCTGCAGAGCTGGGAGCCCGATGTGGGACTCGATCTCAGGACTCCAGGATCACGACATGAGCCGAAGGCAGTGGCCTAACCAACAGCCACCCAAACTCCCCAATAGTCCCCTTATTCTTAATAACCATGTAAAAATTTCTGCCCTACGGCCAGTCTCTTGATTCTCCCCTCTGCCTGTCCCCATTCTTTTGTTAATTAACCTAATATATTTATTAGCACCTAGAAGACCCAGGAAGGGAAACTGAGCCAGGGATACTGGTTTTTGCAGCAATGGGTTTACAGGGTACCCATGTGAAAGGGGCCCCCTTCACCACAGCATTTACCACAACCTGGGCACAGGTCACCGTAAAGCCACGCCCACAGGGCTTGCATACAAAGCATAGGGGCTGCGCCATCTGGGATGTTCCCTTTGTAGGGGGACAGGACCTTACAGCGGCCCCTATCGGCGCCCCCCAGGAATAATCTCCTGTGTGTGTGGATCCCAAGTGAGCTCTAGGTCCTCCATTAACCCCGGACAGGCCCTTCCACTCTGCAGCATTCAAAACCCAAGACACGACAGCCCCCAAATTGGTCACACTCCCACTCCAACTCAGGAAATACTCTCTGGGAAGCTGGAGATACCCATCCACAAAACGTAGCTGCAACTTCGCATGACACTGTCCCCCGCCTGGATTCAGTTTTGTCATCCTCCCACACGGATGACCTTCTTGGGGACCAGAGGTCTTAGAGGGACTTTCAGTGACTCTGCATCATTTTTCCTTGGGGGTGACTTTGAGGTTAATGGCCAAACTCATACTGACCTACATCTGACCCTGGTCTAGCATGCAGGGCTGATCTGGCACTGTCTTTTAATTTCATGTTAGCTATTATGGGTCACAGTAACCGGGATATATTTCCAGCTTTTGCTTATTACTTTGCACTTCCCGTGCATCCCGTGAACCCTGTCCCCGGGAGCTGGATCTGTTTTTGAATTCCAAATGGGTAACTTCTCCCTTTAGTGACTGATTGCCGTGCGTGACCCGTGGCCTCCCAAGAGGCAGGGCTCTTCATCCCGCCACCCCTCCCCTCCTCGAAGTACATGTTTCTTTGAGCTTGGGCGGTTCTAGCAAATCCCACTTCACTGCCACCAACTCTATTGGAAAATCCTACATATCTCCTCCTGCATTTCTCCTTGACTTTCAACAGAAAAATTCCCTTCTGAGACATCCAGTCATGATGTGGGTATGTGGATTCTCCCCATACCACATGATTCTTGGACACCAGCTGGGTGTCCTACAGTGTAACTCAGTTCTCACACCGTCTCCCTGGCGAGCACTCAGATCCTACAGGTTAAGGGCCGGGTGCCATGAGACTGCCCCCCACTTCAAATGCCATCACAGGGGGTAGGTCCCCAGTTTACCCACAACCTCAGTCTGACTTGGCTACAAACAAGAGGTTCCCATGACCTCTTTTCCCTGGGTTGGACTGTTTTCTAGAACAACCACAGAACTCAAGGAAACATTTGCATATGTTTACCAGTTTACTAAAGGATATGATAAAGGATGCGGATAAAGAACCAGATGGGCAGATATGTAGGGTGAGGTCTGGGAAGGTCCCGGGCACAGGAAGTTTTGTGTTATCTTCCTGGCAGGTGGTTGTACACACCAGCCCAGAAGTTCTCCTGTAGGCTTGGTCACTTATTAACCATTTCCAGCCCCTTTCCTCTTTTTGCAGAAGTAGACAGGCAGGACCGAAAATTCCAAGTGTCTAATTATGGGCTGGTCTTTCTGGCAACCAGCTCCCACCAGGAGCCATCCAGGAGCCCACCCAGAGTCACCTGATCAGAAGAAAGATGCTCTTAGTGCTCTTGTCACTGAAGACTTTACAGGTGTTTTAAGAGCCCTGTGTCAGGCCCTGGGGATAGGGACTGAATGCATATTTCCTATTACAAATTAGAATATCACACTTAGGGGTGCCTGGGTGGCTCAGTGGGTTAAAACCTCTGCCTTCAGCTCAGGTCATGATCCCAGGGTCCTGGGATCGAGCCCCGCATGGGGCTCTCTACTCAGCAGGGAACCTGCTTCCCTCTCTCTCTCTGCCTGCCTCTCTGCCTACTTGTGATCTCTTTCTCTGTCAAATAAATAAATAAAAATCTTAAAAAAAAAAAAAAGAATATCACACTTAGCACTGCTTCTCTTACCCCATGCCTTGTAGGATCCCCAAAGTGCTATGAAATCCCTGTAACCTTGGGATTGTGGTCCTGAAATCACAGTGCCCTAGAACTTCTTGATCAGTCCATTCATTTCCTTTTGTAGAAAAGGTTGCTGAGGCCTAGAGAAGGGCAGTGCCTTACCCACGGTCACACAGCAAGGAGGAATTAGAACTCAGAAGTTTTGCCTTGGAGGCTGGGGGCACTAATCCCGTTCTCCAAGGGATTTGGCTTTTGAGACCCCAAGTGGGAGGACCTTGGTTCTGTCTACTCTGTCCTTTGGACAACGTTTTCCACCTCCCATTGTGTGTTTCAGATTTCTCTACACCAGCGCCACACTCATCATAGCCTTCACCTCTGCAGGTGAGTGCTGTCAGGTGGGTGGGAGGGACCCAAGCTTAGGGGCACCTGGTAGGTGGGGCAGGTGCCGAAGGTGATGAGCGGGACACCCTGACCCCCACAGCTGTTCAGAGAACCACAGGCTTTGAGCTCAAGAGGATCTTTGAGGGGGTTATTGGTGGTCTATGAAACCAGTCTAGTCAACTGAGAAATGCGAAAAAATGAGGATAATGAAGAGACTGCTTCAGAGAGAATTTATTTGAAAGATTATATCCTTCCTTTTGTGTGTGTTAATGTGTTCTCTTCTTAAAAATGAAATGATGGGGCGCCTGGGTGGCTCAGTGGTTTGGGGCCTCTGCCTTTGGCTCAGGTCATGATCTCAGGGTCCTGGGATCGAGCCCGCATCAGGAGGAGCTTCCCCTCTTCCCCTGCTTCCCCCTCTCTCTCTGCCTGCCTCTCTGCCTACTTGTGATCTCTTTCTCTGTCAAATAAATAAATAAAATCTTAAAAAAAAAAAAAAAGACGGGGCGCCTGGGTGGCTCAGTGGGTTAAAGCCTCTGCCTTCGGCTCAGTTCATGATCCCAGGGTCCTGGGATTGAGCCCCACATCAGGCTCTCTGCTCAGCAGGGAGCCTGCTTCCCCCCCTCTCTTTCTGCCTGCCTCTCTGCCTACTTGTGATCTCTGTCTGTCAAATAAATAAATAAAAATCTTTTAAAAAAAAACCCAAAAAACCAAAATTATAGTGTGAAGGAGGGTTATTTTCAAAAATAACTTTTATTTAAAAAAAAAACCCTATATTTTAAAGTGTATCCTTATGTAACCTTTATTTTATTTTTTTTAAAGATTTTATTTATTTATTTATTTGCCAGAGAGAGAGTGAGCACAGGCAGGCAGAGTGGCAGGCAGAGGCAGAGGGAGAAGCAGGCTCCCCGCCGAGCAAGGAGCCCGATGTGGGATTCGATCCCAGGAGCTGGGATCATGACCTGAGCCAAAGGCAGCCGCTTAACCAACTGAGCCACCCAGGCGTTCCTGTAACCTTTATTTAAAAAAAAAAAAAACCCATATTTTAAAAAAATATGCTTATGTATTAGGGCAAAAATTGACAGCCCTATTGTAGTCAGAAGTTTTCGTTTGAAATTTTACTTGTTGGTGAACAGAGAATACTCCCAAAGTCTGCGAATTTCAGGCTGGTTCTTTCTCCTCTTCTTTCATCCCGTGGAGGAGAAGATGGATGGCAGAGAGATATCTCGCCAAGACTTGTAGTGGGAAGCACTCTTTCTGGTGTCTTGGTTATGCTGACCAAGTGTGATGCTTGGTACTGAGGAGGCACTCTAGGTTTAAGGGACCAGGGAAGCACAATCCACGGCCGTTTCTTGCTTGGCTGTCATGGCACCCCATGAGATGGGAAGAGCCAGGACTGTTATTCCTATTTAATGGACGAGAGGACTGAGTGAGAGATTCAGAATCGAGCTCCAGTCCTGCTGTGAATTACAGGAAGCGCTTGGGGGCGGAATCCAGGCTTCTCCAACTTTATCAAGCATGGATGGAGGGGCTGCTTGGGGTTTAATGAGGGAAGGGAGCAGTGGTTTCACTCTGAGTCTTGCCTCTCGTGACATCCAGACAACCAGGCCGGCCACCCAGGATCGCCTTTGGGCCCAGGAGACCTCTGATGGCTCCCTCTGCAGGGACATTTGGGGGAACCCTGACCACTATCTTAAGGTCCTCAAAGAATGCTAGCAGGCTGGCTAGAATTGGGACCCTGCTCCCAGGATTGTTGGGAATTTGGAGCAGGTGGGAGCCAGAGTTTGGGACCCCATGTTTGCTGCCCTGACACTGCCCCACTTCTCTCTTCCAGACTCAGCCCTGCTGCTTTTCCTGGCCATGCCCATGCTCACAGTGGGAGGGATCCTGTTTCTGATCACCAACCTGCAGGTGTGAGCTCGCCCTGACCCCAGGCCCCTGGCTGGAGGTCAGGTTGCAGAGGATGGGGGGAGGGAGAAGAGCTCTTCTGCATTGGCCACCTCCAGTGGGGCTGGCTCAAGCCAGGACGGCGGATCCCCGGATGGAGGCGGGTCTGGGTATCAATGAGGGCCTGGCACGTGCCCCGGGGACTGGAAGAACCGGCTCAGGAAGAAGTACGTGACTCCTATGTTCTCTAGGTTGGGAACCTCTTTGGCAAACACCGCTCAACCATCATCACCCTCTACAACGGGGCGTTTGACTCCTCCTCGGCAGTCTTCCTTGTCATCAAGGTAAAAAATACCAGGGAGAAACATGTATAACATGCTTCCGTGCGCCAGACACCTGTCTTGTGAACTTCACATGGTTTCTTTCCGTCAACCCTCCTGCAGCGAGTAGACATGACACTTGAATTTGAACTCGAGCCTGGACCTGTCTGGTTCTGGAGCCTCACCTGGTAGTGGTTAAACTCTTAACAGCTGTCTAGGATTTTGGGGGAGAGGCTGTGATGCACTTGGGCCGGTGTTGGGCAGAGGCTGGGAGCCCCGTGGAAGGGGGTGTTGCACTTGTGAGCTTCTGGTTTGGACAAGAACATGAGAGGTGGCCTGTGGGAGCGACAGGGGCAGACACAGAGGCCTCTCCAGCTCTTTCAAAGGCTGCTTTGGGGGGATTAGGGGGATGGGCTGTTCTAGTGCTCTTAGTGGCCACTACCTGACTGCCTTTCTGCCTTCTTCATTGCTAATAATTCCATCTGGGCAGTGTGGTCCCCAGCCTAGAGGATGAATCCTGATTGACCTTAGCCAACGGGGACAATCCCTTTTCCCCTGGTTAGTGATGGCTAGAGGTGGTCATACTATACAGAGTTTAGGGCATATTTTCCTTCCCTGGTGGAAGGTGAGAGCAGAACTGAAAGAAAGGCTTCCTTCTTGGTCCCCCTACCCACTTTTTCTTTTTGAATGTTGTGGTAGGAGGATGTGATAGCTGGAGTTGTGGCAGCCATACTGTGATTATGAGGCCACCAGCTGGAGGACATGAAGGATGAGTGAGTGGAAGAAATCAGATAATGTGGGTCCTTGACACCTCAAGCTGACCAATTTAGGACTTTCCCTCCAGGCTTTGTGTTAGGCCAGAGGCAGCTGGCACAGCCCATGGGCTATGGGGGAAGAGAAGAGGATCTCTGGGAGTCACTACAAGACGTGACACTAGCTAGCCTAGTCCCATGAGCACCTTGGCATTGAGGGTCACCCAGACCCCCACGGGCACTTACTTAAGCCTCTCTACCACGGGTACAAGAGCCAGTTTCCTGGTTCTCCCCCCTTCCCCTGGGCGTGCTTCCTTTCTCTTTTGTCTCTTTAGAGTTGGAAGGAGAGAGAGAGAGCAGGATCTGAGTTCTTAGTTTAATCTGACCTTGTTGCTGCTGACTCTGACCTTGAGCATTTCCTTGCACCTCTCTGGACCTCGCTTTGACCCTCTATAAAAGGAGGAGGTGGGCTAGCTCAGTGGTTTCCAAAGTGGGTGTGGAGGAACCCTGAGGGGTTATCTGCCGTGTTAGGTGGTCGCCAAGGAGCATGAGGGGGGAGATGACTGGGGCCACTTCCCACTGATGTGTTTCATAAGTTGAATTTTTGTGTGAAGTTTTCTTTGAGAAAAAGGACTTTGCTGCTACTAAAAAAAAAAAAAACAAAAACGAAAGAGCAGTGGGCTCGCAGATCTCTGAGAGAGCACTTTAGGAGAGTGTCCAAGGCTGTGGGGGGTCGGTGACACGCCCCCCTCCCCAAGGCTGGTCGACCTCGAGCCTCGGGGTGAGGGTGAGCCTCTGTTTGTGTCAGGTGTCCCTGATCAGCATTCAAGAGGGAGGGCTAGAGCCTGTGACAGGCTGGGGTTCCAGCCCCTGCTGCTTACATTGACTCTTCCTGTTTGGTAAAATACAGAACATAAAATTGCCTCTCTTAACCGTTCTAAGTATACAGTTTAGGGACATTAAGTTCATTTATATTGTGTAACCATGACCACTCTCCATCTCCAGAACTCTTTGCAGCCTTGCAAAACTGAAACTCTGTGCCCATTAAACAGTGACTTCCTGTCCACCCCCTCCAGCCCCTGACAAGCACATTCTCTTTTCTGAATCTGTGACTTGGACGGCTCTGGGCCCCTCCTGGACGTGGAAGCATGTCGTCCTTTTGCGACTGGCTTATCTCCTTCAGCATGGTGTCCTCGAGTTCGTGCTGTGGCCTGTGTTGGAACTTTTTGGGGGTGAATGCTGTCCCATCATACGTGCAGGCCACAGTTCCTTTCCCCATTTATCTGCAAATGGACACTAGCTTTGCTCCTGTTGTTTGGATGTTGTGAACAGTGTTGCCATGAACTTGGCAGTGATGCTGACTGTCTTCCTCTTTCTTCTGCAGCTGCTTTATGAGCAGGGTATCAGCCTCAGGGCCTCCTTCATCTTCCTCTCTGTCTGCAGTGCCTGGCATGTTGTACGTACTTTCCTCCTGATGCCCCGAGGCCACATCCCCTACCCACTGCCCCCCAACTACCGCTACGGGTAAGCACTGTGGTCTAGTGGTCATGGGCCCGAGCCCTCTGCCTGACCTGAGGTAGGAAGCCAGGCATGGGACAGGTGGGCTAGTGGGATGTAGGACAGCAACGCTGGGCCAGGCCTCCATCAGCTAGCGGTGGCTGCGTAACAAACTACTCCTAAGCTCAGTGGTCTTAACCATTGAGCACTGACTGTTTTTCGTGAGTCTGGGTAGCCAGCTAGTTCTGCTGATCAGAGCTGGGCCTGGATGGTGTTGGCAGGGCTTGCTCAGGCCGCTGGTCATCTGTTGGGCTAGCTGGGGTGGTGGTGAGGATGGCCTCAATCACACGGGGTTGTCTGACAGTCCTTTGGGGTGACAAAGATCTGGGTCATGTGGCTCTCCTCCTTCATCGGGCTAGTGCCAGGTTCCAAGAAACTGTGCAGATGTGCACAGAATTTCTCAGAACTGGCCCAGCATCACTTCTGCCGCCTTGGGTTGGTGGAAGCAGCTCCTGGGGCCAGCCCAGATACAGGGGCTGGGGACCCCGTTGAGCGGCCAAGACCCATTGCAGAGGTTGGAGAACAGGGGAGGAGAAGACATGTGACTGGTTTTGCAGGCAGCACCATGGGTGCTGGGGGAGGCATGGATTTATGGTTCCCTTACTGTTTGCCTGGTGCCCTCTGTTTGCATTGCATGATAATCCTCTCAGATAAATATCCTTATTTCTGTTTTCCAAATGAGGGAAAAGAGGCTCAAAAGAGCTAAGTGTGAGCCATGGTTCCACAGCGAGAAGGAGGCAGAGCTGGGATTCAAATCCCGGCCTGGCCCGCTCTTCCCACGTTTCCAGTGGCTCCCAGAATTTGCTGCAAGTTAAAATCACTGGAGATCTTTTTTTTTTTTTTTTTTTTTAAGATTTTATTTATTTATTTGACAGGCAGAGATCACAAGTAGGCAGAGAGGCAGGCAGAGAGAGAGGGGGAAGCAGGCTCCCCTGAGCAGAGAGCCCAATATGTGGCTTGATCCCAGGACCCTGATATCATGACCTGAGCCGAAGGCAGAGGCTTAACCCACTGAGCCACCCAGGAGCCCCAATCATTAGACATCTTTAAAAAATATGGAAGCCTGGGGGGGTGCATGGGTGGCTCACTGGGTTGAGCATCTGACTCTTGCTTTGGGCTTGGGTCATGAACTTGGGGTCATGAGATTGAGCCCCGTGTCGGGCTCCCCAGTCAGTGGGGCCTCTGCTTCTCTATCTCTCTCCTCTTCCTCAGCCTTTCCCCGTTGGTGCTCTCTTTCTCTCTCTAAAACAAATAAATAAATCTTAAAAAAAAGAATATAGAATCCTGGCTCCCATGCCTAGACATTTTGATTTAACTGGTCTGGGTGGTGGTCTGGGCAGGAGGGCTGCTGGAACGTGTGTCCAAAGCGTGATGAACTTTGGGAGCCCCTGCACCGTTCCCTGCGGCCTGACTCTCAGGCTCAGCTCACAGTCCTTGGGTTGGGCTGGGGGCTCCTGTGTCCGCAGCCTGTGCTCTGGGAATGACACCACCGAGGGGGAGAAGAACGCAGCTGAGTCCGACAAGGTAGAAATGCAGTCGAAAGAGTTCCTTCCAGCAAAGGAAGGTGAGTCCTGTTGGCTGACTCTCTGCCCTTCAAGGCCTGCCTTCTCCCTGCAGCCGGCCTGGTTCTCTGCCTCCGGAGCTGCCCTGGGGACACAGCAGCATCAGCCAAGGTCCATCCGAGGACCTGTAGGGGCTTCTCAACGCCTGCCTCAACCCCTCTTACAGAGGGTCCACAGAGGGGCACAGCTTCTGGGTCTTCTGTCTCTGTCCCTCTTTTCTCTCCCCTCGGCTCCTCATGCCTCTGTCCTGCTCCCTGCCTCCTCGCGCTGCTCCATCTGCTCTGGGTTTTTGGTTACAAACATCACAAACTGCTGCTGGCACAGTGAAGGCAAGAACAGGATTCTGGGGCGCTCACAAAGCTGAGGGAAGCACGAACTTGCCAGGCTCTGGGACGAGGAAAACCCAGATGACTCTGGGGGCCCCCAGACTAAAATCACGGCCGGTTAGCCCTGGGTGAGGAACAGGACAGCTAGTTCAGAGTCCTACCTGGACCTTGAGGACTGAGGCAGGGCCCCGTTTCGAGAACAGACTCAGGATCCTGGTACAGAAAGCAGGGGAAGGGACGTGGGGCTTCTGAGACACTTCCTTCCCCTCAAATGTCCACGTTCTCTTCTCCTTGTCTTTCTCGTCACCATCCTGGCTGAGAAAGTGCTGGTACAGGAAGTGTCATTGAGTCCAAGCTGTGAAAGGGAGACCGTGGTTCCGCGGGACAGAGGAGGGCGTGCATGGGTCACTGCGGTGGGGGCTGGACAACGAAGATATCGAGGTGGGATGAGCGGGCTGCAGGCCGTGCTGGGAACATGCCGGCTGTGGTCTGGGAGGAAGAGGAGGTGAGCTCGCTCCTTAGCCGGGCCTGCGCACCCCGCTCCCCTGCTTTCTCATAATCCATGCCCATATCCTTTCATCCTGTCAGAGACACTAGAACCTGGGAAGCAGCAGAAGCCCCGATCTTTCTGGTGCCACGCACTCTCTCAGCGCTTTGTCTGCCACCTAGTGTGGCTGTCCGTGATACAGCTGTGGCACTACCTCTTCATCGGCACCCTCAACTCGCTGCTCACCAACCTGGCGGGAGGCAACAGAATGCTAGGTATGTGGTGGGGGTGGGGTGCGGCCCACCTGTGCGCCCAGCGGGGAACTCAGGTCCTGGTGGGGGCAGCCCACCTCTGCACCCAGCTGGGGATTTGGATCATGGTGGGGGCAGAGGGCAGCCCACCTGTGCATCCAGCAGGGGGCTTGGATCCTGGAGGCCAGGGTGCTGAGCTCAGCAGGGGTGTGTGCTCCAAGCAGGGATGTGGGGAGGAGGGACAGGCAGGGTTGGGGCAGGTTGGGAGAGAGTCCTCTCCTGTAAGGCAGTGCTGGAAACGTCTTACCACTGAGGCCCTCTCTGCCCTCTGCAGTCAGCACCTACACAAATGCCTTTGCCATCACTCAGTTCTTTGGGGTGCTGTGTGCCCCTTGGAATGGCCTGCTCATGGACCGGCTCAAGCAGAAGTACCAGAAGGAGTCGAAAGACACAGGTGAGGCCTGGGCTATAGGGGGTCGGGGAACCAGGAAGGGAGGAATCTTCATGCATGGCCAGAGCCACCTTCTCCTTTGTTCTCAATCCTTTTCTTGCATCCATCCATCCGTCCGTCCATCCATCTCTCCATCCACTAGTCGTGGAGTGTCCGTCAGTGCCTGCCGTCATTCCAGATTCCACCATGGACCAGACAGATAGGTCCTTGTTCTCAGGCCATCCTCAGTCTAGAGAATGAAGGGTGAGGAATCACGTGTCGCCAGCCGTGAAGTTGGCTCACAGGGGGCGATAGGGACACAAAGAAGGGCACCTAGCCTATTCTGGGTGAGGGTGGGCTTGCAGTCCCGGAAGGCTTCCAGGAGGAAGTGGCTTCTAAGCCGAGGTCTGAAGGATGAGCAAGAAGTGAGGAGATGAAGAGGAAGGCCCTGGGAGAGCAGCCCAGGAATACAGTGGGGTCAAGGTGATGAAGAGAAAGCAAAATATTGAAGAATCCCAGAGAGGAACTCGAGCTGCCTGGGGTGCTGAGGAGAAGGGGCTGACTAGGTGGGAGAGGTGAGAAGTCAGGCGGCCGTGCCTAGGAGCATGGAGACAACCCTTGGATGCTACTGGAGGAACAGAGGGGCGCTGAGTTACCCCCCTTACCCAGTGCAGCAACTCCTGCCCTTGCTGGGGTATTTTACGACAAATCACAGGTATCAGATCACTTCGTCTGTAAATACTTCTGTCTGTGTCTCTCACAAATAAGGCCCTTTCTATTGAAACATCACCGTAATATCATTATCCTTAAAAAAACCCCAGTAATTCCTTAATGCCTTCTAACACGCAGTCCTGTTCTGATTTCCCAAAGGGTCTCAGATACGCCTTTTTATGGTTTGTTCACGTTAGGGTGCACGCAGGGTCCACGCCATATATTTGGTTGACGTGTCCCTACTCCCTTCTATTTCAATCTGGGCGTCCCCTCCCCTCCCCCCCACCTTTTGTTTTTCTGGCTGTTTGTTGGAGAAACTGGGTCATTTGTTCTATCAGATTTCCTCCAGATTGGATTTGGCATCTTTTGGTATCACTGAAAAATGTTTCGCTGATTGGGTGTTTCCCGTAAACAGGCGCAATGGAGGCTTAAGGAGATGCCGTTGAGTATTTTTTGGCGAGCAGGCTTGGGAGGCGGAGCTGCGGGCTTCCTCTGGCTCCTGGCGGCAGGGCCCCCGATCCCAACTGTCCCTGTTCTTACAATGTTAGGATTGATCGTGGGTCCAGACGTTGTCAGTCTGATGCACCCAGGACAGAGTTTCCCATCAGCTGCACGGGTAATGATTTTAGTAGCTACGGCTGATCACTGCCGGGATCCATTATTTTATTAGGATTGCAAAATGGAGATCTTCTATTTCTGTCTTTCCTTCTGCTTTTGGTTGCTACACTTCCTCTAAAAGGACAAGCTTTCCCCTATTGACTGCTTCGTCCTCTGAAATAAACACTCCGTTCTTCCTTCACGTACCAGTTCTGGAATAACGGCTTGGTGCCCTAGCAACCTCCAGGGGGATGACTTGCCATTTCTCTTTTATTTAACTGATTTCCTTTTAAATGTCACTTCTTTTCTATTATTACTGCTATTTTTAAAAGATTTATTTATTTATTTTAGATGGGGGGAGAGTGCATGAATGTGGCGGGTGGAGGGAAAGAAAAAGAGTCTCATGCAAACTCCACATAGAGCGCGGAGCCCGATGCAGGGCTCGATCTCACGACCCTGAGATCACGACCTGAGCTGAAACCAAGAACTGAACGCTTAACAGAAGGAGCCACCCAGGCGCCCCTAATGCCATTTCCATTTTAAAGCCTCATTTTAAATATATTTGAGGCTTTCCAATCCGTGTCAGTCATGATGATTCTGTATGCTCCGATCGGTCCGGCTTTGGCTGTTGGGTATGTCACCAACCCAGAACCAGTGTCCTTTAACACGACGTCCCCAGCTGTAGAGAGCATCTTACTCTCGGGCACAGTGAGACGGCCAGGCCTGTTTCACGGGGTGCATTTCCTGCCCCGGGCCTGAAACAGCCGTTTCCCCAAGCCGTCCTGGGTCCCTTTAAGTGGGAAGCGGTATTTAAAACCTGCAGTCTGGCTGCTTGGGCTTCCAGTTCTGCTGGGTCGTCTGTGTTTTTAGGCCTTGGACAGAGAGGTAAGATGTACTGGTATTTTAATTCATAGCTTACTTTGATTTTACTCTTGATTTTATATCTGCGTCTTTTCCTCTGAAGGTCGTAGCTCCTAACGATGCTACAAATGTGTAGTGTCTGTGGGTCTGCTGTGTGCTGCCCACTATGCACACATATCCATATAGAGCATTTTACAAATGTATTTTATGCATAACGCCTGGCTTCGCAGTATCTGTGTTATTAGTACCAATACACCTGCTGATGCCACCGCCCCTCCTCCCCTCCCTTCCTCCATCCCCCCTGCTGGCTTTCAGTCCCGTGATGGCATCACAATGATGTGGATAGAGCCTGGCCCAGGCGGTGGCCAGTTGGGGGCTGTTTGCTGTTGGGTGCTGTCACCCTCATCTGCTGTGGCGTACCCCTGTGGGGCAGAGGGGGCCAGAGCACGTGGCCCCTGCTGGAAGGCCACTGTCACAATCCAGGCATGTGCTGTTGGAGACCTACAGCAGGCTGAGTCATTGGGGAAGAGAGTAGTGGATGCATTTGAATGGCATTTAGGGGGTGAATGATCAGTGCTCGTGGATGCATCCGAGATGAGCACATGGGAGGGAGAGTTCCTGCCTGCACGGTTGGTGGACGGTGGCTCTGCCCCTCCTCCCATCTTTGTGCCCTGTCCCTGCCCTCCTCCGTGCTTGCCTCCACGAAGCCTCTTCTTCCCTTTCAACCAGGGTCCTTGGCCATGACAGTGGCCCTGCGCTCCACGGTGCCTTCTCTGGCCCTGACGTCTCTCCTGTGCCTGGGCTTCGCCCTCTGTGCCTCGGTGCCCATCCTGCCCCTCCAGTATGTCACCTTCATCCTGCAAGTGATCAGTCGCTCCTTCCTGTACGGGGGCAATGCTGCCTTCCTCACCCTCGCGTAAGTGGGCTTGGGCTGCGTTACCCTATAGGGGATGCACGGGCGCAATGGGAGGTGTGCCAGAGGGAAAGAAGTCAGGAGGTGAGGATGGACCCGGGGGTGGTCCGGTGAGGGAGGCAGCATCTGGGAGCACGTGTAGAGGGTGAGGTAGAGCTAGGGGTTGGTGGGAGGGATAGAATGTTCATGAACTTAAACCTTCAGATCACCTCTCCTATCTGCCTCTCTTATCTACCTGGTGATCTCCTATTCACCCTCCAAGGCCCATTTCTGGTTCAATTCAGGGAAGAGTAAGGAAAAGAGTGTCTTATTCTCCGTCCCCATGACACTCTGTTCTTGCTTCCTTCGCTAGCACAAAGTGATGTTTATGTGTCTGTCTTTCCCTTGAGACCTCTCCAGGCACGGCTTGTGTCTGGGTCCCCAATGACTTTTCTGTGTTCTGTGGCTTGAGTCAAGGTGAAGGGGGGAAGGGCTGTGTGGGCACAGGAGGGTGAAGCCAGGCCTAGGACAGGGGACTTGGGAGCAAATGGCTGACCCAGGCTCACCACGGCCAGGCTCCTCCTTGGAGGGAAGGTCCTGGGAGCTCACTGGTACCCCGTTTGTCTCTTTCCCCAGTTTCCCTTCAGAGCACTTTGGGAAGCTCTTTGGGCTGGTAATGGCCTTATCAGCCATTGTGTCTCTGCTCCAGTTCCCTATCTTCACCTTCATCAAAGGCCCCCTCCAGAATGACCCGTTCTACGTGAGTACTAGGGGTGGGGAGGTGTGGCCCTGGCCTTAGACCAGCAAGGACATCCAGGTTGGGACACCTCAGTGGGGCCCCAGCAGGGGGCGCCCCAAATCTGTCTGAGATGGTTCCTGCAGGACTATTTCTGCAGAGGGCTACATCCTTGGTTTTCTTTCAAACTGGGGTGGCAGAGTACCCTGTCCTATGGCAGGGGTCCCCAAAACCACAAGACTAACATGACATGGCTTCTAAGAGGGTCCATATCATTGGAAATTTGGGGAGAAAATATTTTTTATGTGTGGGGAAACACATAGACATATTCTGGAGGAGAATGTAAAATTCTTACCGATTCCAAGTAAAAACCCAAGATTTTAGAGATATTTCCTGCTTGTGGTGAGTGTGGGCTGAGCCCGGCTCTGGCTCTGGGGCAGCACTAGGCATTGGTGGTTCCGACTGTTGGTCCGAGGGGCCGGAGCTCTGTAATCTCACCCCTGCGTCCCCACACTAGAGGGGTGCTTGTGGGCCCAGCCCTGGGAGGAGGGGGTGGGCATGGCTCTCCGCCTTTTTGTAGAATGAAGACCTAGGTTCAGCGATTGGGGTTCTGTGATTTCCATATTCAGAAGCACGTAGCTAAGGAGCAGAAGTCTTTTGACTTTGAATTCAGTATTCTGACCAGTGCACAGCTCTCTCAGCCTCATCTAAAAAAAGGTCAGCGACGTGCAGAACAAGAGTTGAAGTCAGTCATTGGGAGACACACACAGAACTGAACTAAAAACCGGGGAGAATTTCTTGGTTGTGGTGTCAGACAATTCCAACTGTATTCAGGAGACCCGTGTTCTAGTGACTGTCCCCAGCTTCCCGTGCGACCTTGAGCAGGTCGTTGAGTGCTCTTGAGACCTTTGTTTCTTCATCTGTGAAATGGGCACATGATTCCTCCCTTACTCTGCTCCACAGGGCAGAGTGAAAAATGACTGAAGGCTTTCCCTGGGGCCCCGTAGTGTCTGAGGAGAATGGGGAGGCTGCACCTGGTGAAATTCTGGTCCCTTTGGTGGTGGTGGCTGCCGCTCAGAGTTCTGGACCTCACCTGCCCCCTCTCCCCTCCTTGCCCCCTGCCAGGTGAATGTGATGCTGGTGCTTGCTACTGTGTTGACGTTCATCCACCCCTTCATGGTGTTCTGGGAGTGTCGGCGGGAAAGGAGCTCTCTTGCAGCCGCCTAGCTTGGAAGCTGTCGCTTTTCAGCCCTGACAATGCTCTGTTAATCTTTCCCCACCTTTGAGGACCCCGTGTCCAGGAGCACTTGACCTGCCCAGGCTACTTATATTAATTAGCCATTACTTTTTTTTTTTCTTTAAGACATATTTAGCTGCTAGCAGACACTGGGATTTGCAGGAAAAGACTGTCCGTTGTCACACTGATTGCTGTCCTATAGGCCCAGAGCCAAGGCCCACGGTGGCTCCTGGTTTTGGAGCAGGAAGCACATGACTTTGGCAGACACTTGGTCTCGGGGGAAGTGATGAGATGAGGGAGGAAGGGTGTCACCTGCTTCTTTGGTGACCTCTTTGGTGACCTTCTTTGGACCTCTTTGGCTGTGAAGCCTGTGTGTGCCGAGACCTTCACACCAGGTAAGCCTCCGGGTGGAGAGTGAGGTGGTTGTGGCCTTGGCCGTCACGCCTGGCACTTAGAGGTGGGTCCCTCTGTGTTTGGGCATCATATAAAGCATTTCTCTGGGGAGTAATCTTATAGAAAAATAAAACCTCTCTGCCGAAGGCAACTCCCAGTGTGGCTTCCTAGGGTTTGGGCTGCGTGTGAGTGTGCGTGCATGTGTGCATATGCGTGTGTATGCTTGCTTGTGCGCCCCTGAGAGTGCTCCCGCCTGGGAGACTGGACGCAGGAGTGGAGCAGACGCCCTCAGACCCGGATCCACTCACCTGGTCCCTAGGGTCCCTCCATTCCTTCCGGTGCCTCCTCTTCCTCCCCACCCCCCCCCAAGCACACCGCACCTCCAGCTGAGAGCCCTGCGTGGGGTCCGAAGGCCCCTGTGAGTCTCAGTGCTGCCACTCAGCAGCTGGGCAGGTCCTGTAACCCCTGTGAGTCACAATTTCCTCACCTGCAAAGTGCAGCTCATCATTTCTATCCCTGAGAGCAGTTGTGAGGATTTAAAGTAATTGCTGCTAAAAATAAATAAAAATTAAAAAAAAAAATTGCTGCTACCTAGCACCTGGTGGGAATACATGAGCATTTGTTCCTTTTTGTACCCATGACCAGAAAGGAGAGGGGTAGCAGGCGGGGAGAAGGTGACAGGCTGGGAGGGAAAGAGGAGAGGTGGGCGAGGGGGGAGAATTTGGAACACATTCCGCCAGGCCCAGCCGGGAGAGGCCGATGATGGGGAGGGGCTGGCCGGCAGATTGATTGATTGAGTGGTTTTTTCATTCATTCATTCATTCATTCATTCATTCCATAAATGTTTATTGAGCCGCTGCGGGGCATCAGGTCCCGTCCTACGTGCTGGGGGTACAAAGATGCACGGGCGTCTGAAGCCAGCTCTGCTGTGAACTGCGGAAGGATCATCTCCGGGGCCTGGGAACCTGGGTCTGAACACAGACACCAGAGTGTTCACGGATGATGGCTTTTACCTTGTTATCTTGCTCCAAGCCTCCGGTGGCTTCCTGCTGCCCACAGGACACCGCTCAGATGCCAGCCTGGCATGCAGGCTCTCGCAGTATGATTCCAACCTCTCCGGTACTCTTCCCAGCCTGCATTTAGGAGGACAGAACTCATCCCTGTGGACCCAGGTTCCTGGTCTCTGGGTCTATGAGCACACCTGTTCCCCAGCGTAGGCTTGCCTCTGCCAGGGTCGTCTGCCTAGTCCCCAGGGGTACTGCTCAAAATATTGTCTCCTCTAAAAATCCTTCCTGGGGCTCTCCAGCAGCCCTGCATTCCCAGCCCTGGGTCCTACCCTTCCCGGGGACCAGCACCTGTCTCCTTGCATGATGACATCTCATCACCTGGGCAATGAGCCCCACGAGGTGGCCCCCCGGCTCGGTGACTAATCATGCTGGGCCCCCCACGTGGTGCCTGCTAGGGCTCCTTCAATGGACCATCCCTAAGGAGAGGATTCTTTCTTTTTCTGGCCACCGAGACAACTAGAAAGAGAGAGCAGAGCACACGGGGGTAGGGGACAACTGTGGTGCAATGAGAAGAACATGGATGGGGGGTGGGGGCTAGGCCAACCCATCTTTGATTCCTGCTCTGTCACCAGTGCGACCTTGGATGGGCCACTTCACCTCGATATCTTGGTTTCTTCATCAGGTGATGGGAGAAACAGCCTTGCCTCCCCGGGCTGTTGTAAGGGTTAGAACTTGGGTCAAGCGCCTGTAGCATATGGCAGGTGCCCAAGGGTCACTGCTATCATTATAGGAGATATATTAAATTTGAGAAGGATGCCTGGTGTCCAACACTGGTGAAGGATAAATAAAATGTGGTGTATGCCTATAATGGAATATTGCTTGTCATTAAAAAGGAATGAAACAGATACACGCTTCAGCCATGAGGATGTTATGCTGGGTGGAAGAGCCAGTCACAGGAGACAGACAGCATGACTCCATTGTGAAATGTCCAGAACAGGCAAATCTGTAGAGGCAGAAAGTGGATTGGGGGTTAGGGTTAGGGCTTGGGGAGAAGAAGGGACTGCCGATGGCTGAAAGGGCTCTTCTCAGGGAGATGACAGTTTTCTAAAGCTGGTAGGAATGATACAGCTCTGAATATCCTGAAAGCCATTGAATTGTACACTTTAAGTAGGTGATTTATATCGTAGGTGTATTATATCACAAGCTGTTATTAAAAAAAAAAAGGTGTCTGGATTCCCAGGAAGTGCAGAGAACACTTCTATCCAGAGAGAGTCAGAGATGATGTCTGGGGAAAATGAGTAAGCTAGAGAAGGAGCCCAAGGGCACAGCCTCATATTTCTGTTGCGGGAGCCACGTTCCTGCACCTGCTTCCTCAAATGAGACCAACCGCCCTTTCAAATGAAGAAAGGAGCAACACAGTGGTTTCTCAAGTTTTGGTTTGGCTCCTCAACGGGCTCCGAGAGCAACCTCTCTCTCTGGCTCCCAGCTTCAGGGTTGAGGGGCTGATGTAAATCTGCCCCCCACCTCGGCCGTGGCACCGAGCCTGGGGCAGAGGGCTCTTCTGTTAGGAGAACACCTGCCACGTAAAGAGCAGGGGAAGGCACAGACTGGGAAGTTGGGGTGACAGTCTTCCTTCTCCAGCCCTATTTTACAAACAAGGAACGTCAGGCTCCAAGTGGGCCATCATGTCCAAGGTCATTCAAATGAGCACGTTGTGGAGTAGGTAATTAAATCTGGGGGAGCCTGGTGGTGGGTATTATGGAGGGCACATACTGCATGGAGCACTGGGTGTGGTACATAGACAATGAACTTTGGAACTCTGAAAAAAAAACTAAAAAAAAATCTGGATCTGGGGCATCTGGGTGGCTCAGTGGGTTGAAGCCTCTGCCTTAGGCTCAGGTCATGATCCCAGGGTCCTGGGATCAAGCCCCGCATCGGGCTCTCTGCTCAACAAGGAACCTGCTTCCTCCTCTCTCTCTGCCTGCCTCTCTGACTACTTGTGCTCTCTATCTATCAAATAAATAAATAAAATCTTGAAAAAAGTAATCTGGATCTGACTCGTGGGTCCTGTTCATTTTAGACTTTGCCGTTTCTTTACATTCGTTCTTGCATAGGAAACGTATAGTGGTTGTGAAACAGATCAGAATATACAGTGCTTGAGAAAGAGGTATTGTTAATGGCATTGCTCAGAAATGGCCACGGTGAACACGTTGGCCTGTTTCCGACTGTGTACGCACTGCCATTGAAATAAGCCCTTCTTTATGTCATCAGATAGTTGACCAAAACGCCATTGTGCACGGCTGCTTAGAACCCCATCTTCTGGCTTGTTCCCCCTCAGTTATCCCCCAACCGCCCAACCCTGGGGTGTGCCCTTGAACACATCTTGGAATGTTACGCCCCACTCTGTCCCCCTCTACTCCCTGAGCTGGGGGTCCCAGATGACAGTGAGCCGTGAGAGCAGCCTAGGCCAGCGGGTGGGGAGTGGAGGTAGAATAGAACTCGGGGCCAGATATCATCGACAGAGCCACCTTGAGAGTTTCTAAGGAGTGACGTGGCATCCATGAATCATCGTCCATTAACCTGGTTCCAACTGTTCTTTAGCTAGAGGCGTTGCTGCCCTCTTCTCTGACCCCAGATTGTTCCTGGATCTCTTTTTCCTGCCAGCCCAGGGGAAGATGATTCCCAAATGTGTTGGGTGTGACTCCAGGAGATAGAGTCTTTCCTCTAACATATTTGGGAGGACCCTTCCCCCTGGGATTCAAGGCACATACTCCAGTCCTTGTTTGACAATGAGGAGTCCTGAGGTGGGACGCGTCGGATGGCTCCCGGACACGCTGCAGTCTGAGTCACACAGGCCACCATGAGTCACCACAGGGCGGGCTGCGGACAGGTGGTTAAACCCAGGACCACAACTTGTGGTCGCACCAGCCACTCCCCACAGGTTTTAATTTTTTTTTTTTTTCTAACATATGCTCATGGGTCCCTCAGCATTCTGTTTCCTGGGCCCAGTGTTCCCTCCCAGGCCCCAGGTGGACTCGTGTACTGGGGGCATGGGAAGGGCTCTGGGCCACTCAGGCACTGGCCAGCTGTGAAACCTCGAGGACCCCAAGCCCTGCAGCCCCTCAGTTCTTCCCCTGTAGTGGAGATGGGAAACACTGGGGAGCTTGTGGGAGGACCGGAGGGAATATGGGGAACAATGAAAGGCAGAGGCTTGGTCCAAGACCAGTCCAAGAGCCTCCAGCTCTTCCCCACACGAGCTCTGGGACTTCCGTTCATGACGCCTCAGTTTCTTCATCTGTAAAATGGGGTAGCAACAGGACTACATCATGGAGTTGTAAGGATTATGTGGGTTAATGAAAGCAGCAGGCTGTTGTCTGGCTTCTGGTGCCGCTAGTAACCTCTGTGAGTTCGGGTTGGGGGTGGCGGGGGAGGGGTGGGGGGAAGGGCAGAGTGAGGAGTGGCCCTGGATCATTCCTGGTGGGGTCAACGTGTCATTTTCTTGGTTCAGGACAGAAAACGTCGTGCAAGCATTTGCCTGGGCTTGTTTCTTCCTAAAACAATACAGATTCCCTTGTATTGTGTAGAATGAGAAACTTCAGAGACAAAAAATGGACTAATTACCCAAAATCTTAAGCCAAAGTCAATGAGAAATATCAATCTTTATGTTTAGTTTTTGCTCTACCCTTTGTTTCTCCAGCAGTCAGTGCAGAAATGTCAACTACC